TCTGGCCCAGAGGCTCAAACGCTTTTTGCTGCCAAGAGCCCAACCCCTTACTGGGCCACGGAGGCAGAGGGGTTGGAGGAATGTAGCCAGGTTGGTCTCTCAGCTCCTGTCCCTCAATTGAACCTGTCCCCACAACTGTGAGACGGAGGGATCCATGCCTCGCATGCCTTCTGGGCTCTTGGTTCAATTCTCAGCACCACCAAAAAAAAAAAAAAAAAGTCAGAGAGAGAGGAACAAAGGGAGACGGGAGACAAAGCAGGCTTGGAGTAAGTTCAAGACAGGATAAGGACAGATGTGCAGACAACCGTCTCCTGATGGCTGGCTGCCACCTCAGGAAAATGCTGGCCAGAGATAACAGGAGAAGCAGAGGGCCTGGAACATCTGCCAACCAGATCCCCGGCTCCCCTGGTGAAGCCAAGCGCAGTCCCAACTGCGCCTGGGCTTCAGCAGAAGCAGCGCTAGTACTGACCCCCTTACAAGGACAGCGCCATGTCCCCTGCCCAGCCAGTCAACAAGCCTCATTCAAGCATTTGAGTTTTTTCAACACTTCCATCTCCAGTCACCTTCATAGTCTCCTTCTAACTGGATCTGAGGAAGCATGGGGCCAATATATTTTCGTGCCACTTTGAAGCCTATCCACCTACTTAGCATGTAGCACATAGGAAGGAAGATGTAGCCTGGTGATTTCTGCTCCTCCCTCATTCCCTTCAGCAGCCCAGGCCCTTCCCGTCCAGGTAGGTACTTCTATTAGCTCCAAGAACTTTCAAAACTTCCTCTATCCATTCTGAAAACAATCTGTCCCATTTCCAAGGCAGAGAGTGGTTACACAGATCACCAGGCTGGAGCACAGGGATTCTCAAGGGAAACCTGCAAATGTCTGATGATGTGTGACTAAGTATGCTCTGGGGGCTCCCAGGTAATCCACGGCACTTTTATCAGACTAATTTCCGTTGACTCCCTAACCCAAAGAAAGGATGTGCCCGAAATTTTTATTTTGAAGCACAAGGCTAAGGTAGGCTCACAGCAACAATCTCTCTTCCCTTTGCCTGCCAGGAAACTCAGTAGCCCAATTTGGCAAAAAAAAAAAAAAAAAAAAAAAAAAAGTGTAAATAGGCCCTCATGACCCCAGCCAGTGAGTTCTTCCCTCTACACTCCCACCTATTCTAACCTTGTCCTTTAGGCTTGTTTTTGTAAGGTACTTTAACACTGTTAAGCAGGATTTTTTCCCCCTTAAATATCTTCTCTACGGAATTGGGTCATTATTACTACACCAAGGAAATGATACAGTGTACAGTTTGAGAAGGTAAGTAGGAAACTTCAAGGAAAGAAGACTCCTACCGGGTGCATAATTCCAGGAAGACTGCAAATTCGAGGCCAGCCTCAGTCCTTTAGTGAGGCCCTTAGCGAGACCATGTCTCAAAATGAAAAATAAAAAGGGCTGGACATGTAGCTCCGTAATAGAGCACCCCTGGCTTCAATCTCCTACACCAAAAAAATCAATAACATAAAATAAAAAGAACTCTTGATGCTACGGATTCCTCAAATCCCAGCCAATGCTGGCCACTGAGAGGAACACCCCTGTAAGCCTCACAAACCCTTCAACCACCCTCAGTCAGGCACTGCCTCCTAGGCTTGGGGCCACAGAGCCACGCCCAACTTAGTCTCTTAACCAAGAAACTTGAGTCCAGAGACAGAACCCTGGAGCAGCAACCCTGGGCTCCCCCATCTCCTCCTTCCAAGGTCCACCTGTGGTGACACAGGGGATCAGCTCAGCAGAGATAGTTCAGGGAATTCTGACCAGAAGCGGGGAGGGGAGACAGGAGGAGGTAGTGGTGTTAACAATCAGTGACAGTGGGTCCCACTCATTCCCAAGTCTATTTTACGACTTTGAACTCGGTATGCAAATTTATGCAAGACGAGATGCAAAGCAGTGCTGGGAGCCAGAAGTCCCGTTGCTTTCTCCGCCCCCCCCCATTTTTGAAGCTGCACTGAACCACTGTAAATCAGTGCCTGCCTCTCTCCCAGCTTCCTCTCCCCCAGCAACTGCAGATGCACAACCTCCCCACTTCCTTGCTACCTAGCTTGCTTGCCCTCGGTGGGCCTGCCTGCTTGTTGGCCCAGAACTTTGAAGGACTGCACATTTCCTTAGCACCTTCATATGTGCAGAAGGCCAGACGGCCACTTGGGCAGCCCCGCCCCTCAGCATAATCCCCTTCATTGTACCCGACAGGGATGGAGGCCGGGGATGCAGAAGAACCAGCCAGGCCTAAATTCTGAAAGGGCCAGGCCTGGTCCAAGTCTGCCCCCTAACTCCCCACCCCACACAGACTTTTTTCTAGGCATCTCTGCCCACTCCACCACCTTCCATACTCACATAGTTTTAAAGTCCCGACTTCAGGCTGATCTCAGTATCCCCTTTGCATTTTTCTCCCACCCTTACCCCCCAGACCCAGAGTCTGGCTTCTTGGTTTCGGTGAACCAACAAGTCCCAGCCCATCACCCTCCAGGGATGCAGGCTCACCAGCACCCACTTCTGCTGCCGATGTGCCCACCCCACCCCCCTACATCCCTGCCATCCCCAGGAAGCCAGCAATACAGCCCCTGAGTCCCGGGAACAAAGACAAAAGAGCTAACAGCAAGCCGGAACTGCTGGGGTTTGCTGCCTCGAAATAAGAGGGTATGTTTAAAATTCTCAAAAGCAACCTGCTCCAAGAGGAATGCAGGCTGGGGGGTGGGGGGACTCCTTCTTCAGAGGGGGGAGGAGATGGAAGATGCAGAGCAGGAGGCAGCAGCACTAAGCCCCACCCTACCCATACAGGGACCTAATCCCTGCCCCAAACCAAGACCCTCTCTCGCAGGCACAAAAGCCTCCATCCTTGCCCCTCTTCCCTGCACCCTAGAGCCCAGGTTTCTCCCTACAGGGCCCCCTCCCCAGCCCTCCTCCTGGCTCAGCCACCCCAGCTGTCCGTCACCTACTCAGCTTCCATCCCCCGCCCATACCCTTATCCCTCTACCCCCACCTTCCCAGACTGGAGCACAAGAGAAAAATGTAGAAGGCATCAGGCACCAGGAGAAGGCTCAGGAGGCAGCTGGGACGAGCTGGCGGAAAGAGTCCCATAACCAGGCAGAAAATCCAGAGTGACATTCTTCCCATGAACTCACCCCATTGTCCCTGGGCTTCCCTGACAACCCCCACCCCCTTTCAGGATACAAGAAGTGGTGGGGGGAGACCTCTCTCCCGCATCTGTTGCAGGCTGAAGACCCCACCTGCTTCAGGGATCTAGGAAGCAGGAGAGCTGGGTTTCAAGCTCAGTGAGACAAACGAAGAGTGGAAAAAAATATTAAAATGGTGAGGAAGAAAACACACCAACTTTATTAAAACAGTCAAAATCCAAAAGGTTCTGTGAGGCCTTTGGAAAAGTTCGCCCTGCTGAGGAAGATGTTTAGTTTGAGCTCAGCTCAGAAACTGCAGAAAACCTCCTGGGTGGACTCCAGGGTGCCAGAGGTTATGGGGAGGACTGGTCCCAGGACTGGGGGACGATATCCCACAGGGAGAGGACTTTGCTCTCTTTTTCCTTTTATTATTACTAAGAGAAGCAGGAGGGAAGGGTTAATTTCAAGGCAGGCTAGGAGAAGAAAGGAACAGAGGGGTTCCACTTAGAGGGAGCCCTTACCTTGCTCAGTCCTCAAGGTCAAAATGTGGGGAGAAATAGAATAAAGATTTCAACTCTGACCCCTAATTCCATTCTCAAAGGGAAAAAACAATGGCAGGCCAGAAGAAGGGAGGTGGTGTGCGAGGAGGGAGGGGGGGCTTACAAAGACGCTCAGAAGCCAGAAGGAATGTTCCTACTTTTTCTCCCCCCACCCAATTTTTTTTTTTTTCAGTTTGAAAAACTTGGTCAGACTAGCTTGCTTTTTAAACAGCAGCGGACAGTGGACACATTTCACTACCATCTCCAAGAGGAAAGAAATAATTATAGCTTCCTCCAGACCACGGGGAAGGCTTTTGTAAATTCAAAATTAAAAAAAAAAAAAAAAACTCCTGATAGCTTGGTTGTGTCCTTCAAGTAACTTTTTGCAAGGGATGAGGACCCTTTAACAAAGAGCCCAGGTTCCTCATCTTATAGGATAAGAAGAGTTCCCCGATTTGGGGTGGGGGTGGGGGGGATCACACAGCTCACGTAACAGTCATTCCCCCACCCAGGCTCCTCCTGCCTTCCCACCCGCTGCCCAGATGCTTAAACGCACAGCCTGGCTGCCCGGGTCCTGGGAATGCAGCCGGCGATCCGGCTTAAATTACACCGATTCAACTGCTGGGGTCTCCTGCACGCCTCCCAAAGTCACCCCCCTACCGTTTTCCTTTTCCATCCAACATAGCCCCCTTCATTCTCTCTGTAAGATAGCAACGTTCTCTTTAATTGCTCTAAGCAACTCACCCTACAAAGCACCAAATCCTTTCTTCCCACCTCACAACCCCAATAGAAGGAAGGGTCTCTCACTCAGTGCGCCGGTGCCTCCACCGCTCCTCACCGAGGTCTCGGGTGTCACCGGCATCCAGTGGCTTGGGCCTCCCAACAGCGTTCCCACCGGGACCCTTTGACTTCACCGACTCAAGCTGTGCCCCAAATAAGATTCAAGTTCCCACTCCCACGGGTCTGACCGACACCCTCCTCCCCAGTAAATCTCCCCTCCAGAATAAAAGTGAGAGGACTGCCCACCCGGGAAAGGCTGGTAACTACAATGAGTCTCCTCTTCCAATTTATCCCCACTAAATTAGTAACCAGGGTTCTTCCACTTGCTCCAACTCCAGTCCCCCACTCCGAGCCTGACTTTCGGGATCCCGCCCTCAACGATCCCCCCAGATCTGGCCACGGATTCGATCTTCCTCTACTAAAGTCTCTGAGGTCCTGCCGCACACTCCTTCTACACCTAACGGCCGCCAGCTGACCGCCCCACTGCCCTCCAAGTTTCTCCCAACTAGTTGTCCCAGTCCGCGTTACCTGCAACCTGCTCCGGACTAACGCCGTACTTGGCGTCCCGGCCCTTTCCGCAAGTGCCCACGCCCATGACCAGCGACTGAAGGGGCAGCTCGGAGCCGGGGTTGGGATAGCAGCGTAGCCCCTGGCCGCAGCGTGGGGTGTAGACGCCGCACGCCTCGCCCTCCAGCCGGGCGCACACCGAACAGCAGCCGCAGCCCGGCTCCCGGACCAGCTCAGTGCAGGTCCCGCGGGCGCCGCCGGCCGACCGGGACACCGCGTCCGGCGGGGGCCCGCAGGCAGCCAAGCGTTCTGGCGTGCAGGGCGGGCAGCGGAACAGCACCTCGGCGCGCACTCCGCGGCCACCGCTGCCCGCGCCCAGCAACAGCACCAGCAGCGACGGCAGGAGCAGCGGCAGCGCGGGGCCGCCCAGTCTCAGCAGCATGTTGGCGGTGGGGAGCGCGACAGCAGCGAGCGAGCGGGCAGGTGGCACGGCCCTGCGAGCGCGGGTGCCGCCTCCTCCGCTTCTTTCTCCTTCGCCGCCGCAGCCGGGTCCTAAAAAGCCTGCTTCTCCCCGCCCCCTGCCTTCTCCCCTCCCCCTTTCGGAGACCACCCCCTTCCCCCAGCACTCCTGCGCGCCGGCACGTGCGTGCGCACACGCCCCCCTCGTCCACCCCGCCTAGATTCCCTGCTTCCAGGGTCCCACTTCTCCCTGACCCGGTCCCTCCCGGATCTTCTAGACGAGGCTCGCTCGCTCCGGAGAATAAGAATTACTTGCGAGCCTGGGGAGGATAGGCGTGGGAGTGGGGAAGAGCCGGGGCTTTTGTCGCCCTTTGGTTCAGTTTGAAAGGACTTAAGTTTGGGCGCATCCCTTGTGGCCCGCGGTGAGCTAGCTGTTAGGGAAACACAAAGGCACAATCTTGACCTCAAGTAGATTTCAGGGCTCGCATCCACTCCCTCCATCCTCGAGGTATCATCCATACCTAACACGTTGTTCAGAACCATGACCTTGGGTGCGTCCTGAGGAATTCAGACCCGTCTATACCAGGCTAGCCCCAAACAGCCCCTTTTAGTGACCATTGCAGTTTCCCAACAAGGAACTCATGGCCACAACATATAAGAAAAGCGATTTTTAGACCTTGAGAAACCTGCTCCCTTCCTCTCAATCCCCTCCCCTTAATGATCCCTTAGAGACCCGGGCCACCTTTCACAGATCCGAGGCATTTGCTGCTAGAGATAACCCTGTTTGCCCTGCTGCCGGGTCTTGGAAAGGTCAGGTCAGACCCCTAAGTGTGAGAGAAAGCCCTGACACAGGACCAATTAAAGCTCTCTTCAATAATGCAGATAGACAAACATAGCTTCCATTGTTCTGTTTGGTTTACTGAGTCACCAGCCAAGCCCCCCCCCCCCCAAGTCCCCGTCATTCCAGGGTGGACTCAGCCTTAATTATTCACCCATCTCCCTGGTATGTGACCCTAACAAAGACCCTTGTCAGAGAGTCTCTCCTAAGGAATGGACTATTAAGCTAGCTTCCAGGTTTAAATTTCCAATACCTCCAATGCCACCTTTCTTCCACCAGATTTCTGTACTACATTCTAACTTGAGTACTCAGAGCCTACTTGATCCAGTTCAGCAGCTAATCATGTGGCACCTGGCCCTAAAGGTGAGTTAGAGACCTCCAGGAAGGCAAGTTCCAGATCTTAAGGAACCAAGAGCTGAAGAGTTGTGGGGAAGAAATTGGTAAAACTGGTTGTCAGAGGCTTTGAGAAAGAACTGTTCAGAGAAGAGGTGGTGCAGGGAATTGAGGGCAGAATTTCCCAGGTGAGGCAAAAATTGAAGCTTGGAAATTCTCTCAGTGGAAATGAAGGGGTAGCAAGAGCACCCTAAGCATAAGGATCAGCCAAAGCAAGGGTGCAGAGACGGGGAAGTGAGGTTAGAAATTAAAAGTCATTCCACTTCCTCCAAAGACCGTGCCTGGAGGAGCCATGAGGGATTGGCAGGAAATCCAATTGACTCATGTGGAGTTTTGGCTTAATTTGTTAGGCAGCAGGGATGCAGCAGGCAAGTTTGAGTACAGGAATGAATATAGACAAAGCTGGACCTCTGGCAATCACTAGAGCTATGTAGAGTACAGATCTTACAGAAGGAAAAATACATGGGCTCAGGGAGGCGCCTGGTCACCTCACTCCCTGTGTCCCCGTGTCTGGTGCCTGCCTGGTAACATGTTTCTCTTGGTTACATCCACCAAGTTCCTTCTGAGGTGTGGCCCCATACTGCCGGATAGAAATCTAATGTAAACTCCAAGTGTGAGACGAATGTACAATTTAAAATTTTTCAAGTAGCGATGTTTAAAAAATAGTGTTATGGTTTGAATGGGAGGTGTCCCCCACAAGCTCAAGTGGAAGACAATGCAAGAAGGTTCAGAGGAGAAATGATTGGGTTTTAAGAGTCTTAACCCAATCAGTGATTTAATCTCCCATAGGGGTTCACTGAGTGGTAACTGAAGTGGTAGGGTGTGGCTGTAGGAGGTGGGAATTGGGGCGTGGCTTTGGGGCACAGTATCTGGTCAGTGGGGTTGTTCTCACCTTCTCAGTTGCCTGAATCACTATGTGAGCTGCTTACCTCCGCTAAACTCTTCTGCCATGATGTTCAGCCTCACTTTGATCTCAGACCAATAGAACAAGCTTTCTGTAAAGACCTTAAGACCTCTGTAACCGTGAGCCCTCAAACTTTTCCTCGCTTAAAATTGTTCTGGTCAGACCAGTGAAAAACCTAACTAAAACATTCAGTAAAAAAGAGAAAGGTGATCCCCGCCGCCCCCGCCTACTAGGAATTGAATTTAGGATCTCATGTAGGTTCAGCAAATGCTCTACCACTGAGCTACATCACCAATCCTTCTTTTATAAATTTTGTTTTGAGACAAAGGTCTTGCTAAGTTGCCCCAGGCTAGCCTCAAATCTGTGATCCTCCTGCCTCAGCTGGGATTACAGGCTACATCCTTTTAAAATATATACTTTAGCTCAGTATGTCGCAAATAATATTTTAATGAGTCAACACTAAAAATCATTAAGAGAGAAAATATTTTTTTCATACTAAATCCTCATGCTCTGGTATGTCTTCTACTTACAGCACATTTCAACATTTCAATTTAACTAGCCAAAATTCAAATGCTCAGTAACCAGATGTGGCTAGTAACTACCAAAATGGCCAGCTCAGGGGTCTAAAATACAGGGTCTTGCTGGGCATGGTGGCCCAATCCTCTGATCCCAACTGCTTGGAAGACTGAAACAGGAGGATCACAAGTACAAGGCCAGCCTGGGCAATTTAGAAAGACCTTGTGGCACCTAGCAGACACTCAGTAAGTGTTTGTTGAATGAATAAAAATATTGACTCTAAAAATAACCTTGACAGGGCCTCTTCTCTCTCTCTCTCTTTTTTTTTTTTTTTTTTTGTACTGGGGATTGAACCCAATGATGCTTTACCACTGAGCTACATCCCAGTTCTTTTTATTTATTTTTTTAATCTGAGATAGAATTTTACTACATTGTTGAGCAGCTTTGAACTTCCCATCCTCCTGCATCAATGGGATGCAAAAATGCTAAAGGACAGCCAGACCCAAGCTGGATTTTCTCTGCTAAGTCACCCTGCCACAGCCTCTCACTCTCTCTCTGCAATGCTCAGCAGCTGGGATGAAAGATAGTGATCAATCTATTGGGAAGCAGAGAGAGACATTCATTCAATCTTTTAGCTACTCACTTGTCTTTTGAGATTCGTTCTCCTTTCACCTTCCTTTAAGTTGTTGATCAGTTAGCCAAGAATTGTAGAGATGAGCAAGCAAAGAAATGCTGACTTAACAAAAGTAAAGTACTCAAAATGGTTTTCTCTTTCTAATGAGTCTAAAAACCACACCCTAATTCTTTTCTGCTAGTTCCCAAGTTAATAGCCAATTACCCTTCCCACACCTACCCCACAAGTACACCTACCTCAACAACAACCTCTTCTCTTTAAATCCTTTCCTTACCCCCAGGAGCCTCAGAGCTCCATGCCAGAAAGACCTCCTACCACTGAGGCCTGAGCCTCAGCACATCTTCTATGAATTAAAAGAAAAATCACAATGAAAGCAACATTAAAAGGGTTTTGGAAAATGGAATGAGGGATCTTTACAGAGGGACCTGTGCATGTCTCAGGCTGCTGCTTGGGATGTGAACTTTGGTCACCTCCACATTTTTGACCACAGAACCATCACATTGTGTGCAGAGACTCAAGGTTTGTTTCAAGAGGACACATGTGTTATGAACATTTTTTACTAAATATATACACTCTTTTCTTTATCTGCTGTTGGTCACAGTCATGGTCATGGGTTGGTCATGGTCACAGGTTGATCACATAGCCCCTGTTCTTGCTCATCATTCAGTAATTTATATAAGCACCCATTTTTCCTACCTTCTTCGAAATACTAATTCAGAACTCTCTGAACCTGTCCCCAGTATTATAATTCCTAAGGTCTAAATGAAGTCCTTTTTATTCTTATACTTTCTACATTTGAACTGGTCGACACTTTAATCAACCAAGGCCTAGAAATGTGAAAAGATTTGGCCACAGCCCCAGAACTGGTTACTGGCTGGCTTGAGACTTAATCACTTGTATATCACAGTCAGCCCAGAGTCTTCAAAAGCACATGGCACATGGATGTCAATAAACATTAGTTGAGTGAACCTAAGATCTCTGCTCATCTCTTGGTTTGCCCATTGTTCCTTTAAATTTCATATGAATCCTCTGTAAATGTTACATCCTTAGGCTTGAGAGCCTGACTCTGTCGGGCAGTGTGGGCTTGGTTGAGAGATGGGACAGGCTGAGACTGGTTTTCTCCTTTCTCCCTAATCCCTCCTTTTTTCCATTTGAACCATATTGCACAAACTCTACCCTCCAATGGTTTACCATAACTAAGTACCACCTGTGCTATTATTTACATAATTGTTTAATGTGAGTCAATTCATTCTTTTTTTTTTTTTCTTTTTAACTTGAGGCCATTTTAAAAAGGAAACTTTATATCACTACCATAAATGGAATCTCAGTAATGGATGGTCATATACAGATGGTAACCATAAAAATAAACACAATAAAAACAAAACTGTGGTATTTGATTCAAACTGGATACTGTTGCTTTGCTGAAGCCTCTGAGCCTGGTACACCCTCCTCTGTTTAAAAGAGATGAGCTAGACTGAAAGAAATGCTAAAGGACAGCCAGACCCAAGCTGCGATTTTCTCTGCTAAGTCATCAGAAAAATAGGAATATTTTTCAAATGATTTATTGTAATGTAATATATATGCAAAAAAGTATGGAAATCAAAAACTTGACAAATATCCACAAATTGGTAATACCATTTAAAAAGCAACCAGATCAAGAAAGATATATATATATATATATATATTTTTTTTTTTTTT